TTAAGATAAATTATAATACTGAGTGAATTTTACCTGGTGAATTTTTTTTTTACAATGATAAATAGCTAGCTTTTTTCTTTCTCTTCTTCTTCTTCATTTTTATTTATTTATTTCATTTTTTTTTTTTTTTTTTTGGGGGGGGGTGGGGTGGTGAAGGTTTTTTCTGGGCAGTACTTTTATTCCATCCAGTACTTTTATTAAATTTCGAGATTTTTTCCACCCAGTACTTTATTCCATCAGTACTTTTATTAAATTTTGAGATTTTTTCCACCCAGTACTTTTATTCCATCAGTGCTTTTATTCAATACTTCAGAGTACTTCAGGAGATTCCTTAGTTAACTTCAATCAGAAGTAAGATGCTATTCATTTTTATTTGTCAAAAAAGAGCAAGTGGTTAAAATTAGAGCAGTTAACTGTCTTGATTACTGTCAAGGGGTCTTGGCTTGGGCCTGTTAAGTGGCAGTACCTGAGCAGTTACGCAAACAATTACCAGCCTTGTAATCATCCTTGAGATTTCATCACAGAGAGTGAAATGACTGTATATTTATCTAAAGACATATCTGTGAATGTCTTGTGAAAAATAAATCTGTCGCCCTGGTAGAGGGTACTTAACAGGTACGTTATCTGAATTTTTCATTTTAAAAAAGTGCAAAATTGGTTTCTCAAATCTCTCTCATTTAATGATACCACTGAGTACTTCAAAACCCTGCCAGTGATTTTTCTTAGAAATCTTAGTTTAGATTTTATCATTAACAAGGCAAAATTTGTTCGATGGAACATTGCAATTAGGGGTTCATAACTCCAGGAAAAAATTTAAAACACAATGAAGGCAGGGGATTGAAGCTCCTACACTTGTTGACACCCAGGCAAACTTTCCTGATAAAATCTGGTTCATGGAAGAAGTTATGTTCCATACCAATTACCTGTATATCACCTCAAAATAGAAAGCAGCTGCTGTTAAATTGATGATAAATGCTCTGAGGTTCTTATGCTTAACAATGGAAAATGTAAACACCAGTTCTTCCAAAGGGAATTTTTTTCATGTTTTAAATCGGCAAAATGGTCAAGGCATTGCTGAATAATTATTTGCACAAAAAAAAACTTTTTTTTTCAGTGTTTTGACGATCAGGGTTTACAACCCTGACATGAACTGCGCATTACGTAAGGAATATGTGCTGCTTTCATAACTTGAGAAGTGCTAATCTGTCATTGCAACAATCAGCTGTCTGAAAGATTTTGTGAGGATTATCACACTGAACTTTGAAATAAGCAATATTATTATAACTAGGATTGTTTGAAATGGGCAAAAATTATCAACCTCTCTGAGAAGATGTCATTTTGGAATCATAAAAATTATATTTAAATTTATATTAACTTCTTGAGATCAGGTGATATTGGAATGGGCAGCAGTTCTGTGGAAGGAGAAAATTCAAACAAGTATGAAAACTACTGCTCAAAAACTGAATGCTCTATCATGTGAAAATGCAAGAAATGCACATAGTTCAATCAACTAGACAGATAGAAGCACAATTGTACACAGAACTTACATTACAATTATTCGCCCTGGGTCCACCATATCAGACACCTGGATGCTGAGCACATTGCGCAGTAGGATAAGACTCCAGTATATCAAGTCTCTTCCTTGGGTACTCAGGGTGGTCTCCTGCAAGAAGAGATTTATCTCATATTATAAAACAGTGGCATGTGGTACTCAGGGTGGTCTCCTGCAAGAAGAGATTTATCTCATATTATAAAACAGTGGCATGTGGTACTCAGGGTGGTCTCCTGCAAGTAAAGATTTATCTCATATTATAAAACAGTGGGATGTGGTACTCAGGGAGGTCTCCTGCAAGAAGAGATTTATCTCATATTGTAAAACAGTGGGATGTGGTACTCAGGGAGGTCTCCTGCAAGTAAAGATTTATCTCACATTATAAAACAGTGGCATGTGGTACTCAGGGTGGTCTCCTGCAAGTAAAGATTTATCTCATATTATAAAACAGTGGGATGTGGTACTCAGGGAGGTCTCCTGCAAGAAGAGATTTATCTCATATTGTAAAACAGTGGGATGTGGTACTCAGGGAGGTCTCCTGCAAGTAAAGATTTATCTCACATTATAAAACAGTGGCATGTGGTACTCAGGGTGGTCTCCTGCAAGTAAAGATTTATCTCATATTATAAAACAGTGGGATGTGGTACACAGGGAGGTCTCCTGTAAGTAGAGATTTATCTCATATTATAAAACACCTGAATATGGTACTCAGGGTGGTCTCCTGCAAGTAAAGATTTATCTCATATTATAAAACAGTGGGATGTGGTACACAGGGAGGTCTCCTGTAAGTAGAGATTTATCTCATATTATAAAACACCTGAATATGGTACTCAGGGTGGTCTCCTGCAAGTAAAGATTTATCTCATATTATAAAACAGTGGGATGTGGTACACAGGGAGGTCTCCTGTAAGTAGAGATTTATCTCATATTATAAAACACCTGAATATGGTACTCAGGGTGGTCTCCTGCAAGTAAAGATTTATCTCATATTACAAAATGTTGCCACGTGGTACTAAGCAACACCGACATGTTTTGAGATCATATATTCAATCACTCCTTAATTCCAGCAATTACAAGTTTGATATTATAAAAACTCAACGTAGGGAAATAGCAACTCTGTGGCACTTCCAAATGGAATCATTTATTCAATTACTTCCTTATATGTATTAGGTTATTCATCTGGGCATATAATAAAGCACAAAGATGTGGTGATTTGTACCTCTAATGTTTGAAAGTTAAAAAAAAAACACTATATACAACTTTCCACTCAAATCTTCCAAGACACCTTAAAATACATGTGCATGTACTCATCCACACCATTTAACTAGCAACGAATACCTTTATACGGAATTCCACATTCATCTATTAATTCCAGGATAGTCCTAATATTATAAATGCACAATTTTTAAAAATGTGTCTTCTAGAACATTAATCCTTCTTAACTATCAATATATACTGCATTAACCACTTCACATAGTACAAATTTGCATGGACACATACACAAACACACAAACTACATAAAACTTACAACAAACATACAAAACTTTATACAAAACTTCCCAGCTCACCTCGTCCAGGACAGTTCTCATTTCCTCCAGTATTGACTCGGCCAATTTTTCATCTGCCAGTACTTTCTTCGCCTCGGCCAGAAGCCCCTGCATTTCCTGGTGGACCTGGGCGGTGGACCTCAGACCCATGATCACAGGGCTCTCCAGTGTTTCCAGGGGCATCGACACTTTGGCAAACACCCTGGAGCAGAAACGAAATCAGTCTGTGAATTATAAGGAATCATCCTCATGTGAAGGTATCGGTCACACAGGATTTCTTTGAAATGTGCTGAAAAAAAACAGCGTAACTTTTGCAATAATGGTCCGTTCAAGCTGATTTTTGAACTCGGCCTGTATTTTACAAATATTCGTAAGTCCTGACAGTCATGTAAGTTTGAAGACAATGTGTCAAACAGTTGTACACTTATTGTGTTATCCCTGAAGAAATTCATGGCAATGATGACAACGACCTGCACTCCTGATGTGTCTGTACATAAAAAAGCTTCATAAAAAATTGAAACTTAAATGAGCTTCTCAGATCTGATAGTCTGCATACCCTCAAAGCTGCATTTCCAATCTAGGTGTGATATCTTAAATTAAGAAGAAATGTTCTATTAGGATTTCTAATTTCAAGATTTCAAAAACAAGCATATCCCTCTGCTGCTACACTCTCCAAACTGAGGTTAGCCCCATACTGTTAGACTGCCTTTCCACAGGAAGAAATCATAATCACATGTTCCACTGAGATAGCACCTCTTAGTCAATCCTCCACAACTTGACTGGAAATTTGCCATGAGACACTAGATAAATGAAAAGTTAAATGAGACAATTGACCCCACCACCACCTCAAAAACAATCTTCAGAACTTATTTCTTAACTTGCTCTAAATATTTAGAAGTACAATAGCAGAGACAATTCTGCATATTATTACAATATGAGAGTGAGTGAAGCTGAGTCTCCGCTGGAACAGAACTTATATCACTGAAGACCATGCTGTATATCTTAAAATAACCTGAAACACTTGACCTAGATTGAGGGCTTCTGACAACCAGGGCAGATAAACTTGACTGAATTCAAACACGTGAATTTTTCAGCCATATGGAAATTCTTGGCTCTAAAACTCTACAGACTGTTCACTCAGGTTCGGAGTTAAATCTAGATCAAAGCTGAAAATAATTACCAGATGCCAAATCTTCTACTGCTTATAGTGACGCCGTCAAAGTAAGGACCATCCAAGGAGACAACTTCTCTGTGAAAAGCAACTATTGTGCCTGAAACACTTACATCTATGACACATTGATTGCTTAACTGGGAACACATTTTGAACCTAATCGGTTCAGATTTCAGACCAGTCTGGCTGCAGTCACGTCTCTATCACAACTCTATCACGTTCAGCAACAGACGCACTTTAGTAAGCACATTCCACTTGTTACATTTTTTTAATGATACAAACTCAAAGACTCGAACCTAGTTTTTAGACAAGTTGTGAATACTTGATTTCCACATGTGCGTTAAATTTTTACAGGTACCCAATTCTGCACTAGAGTTTTTTTCTTTCAATCACTAAGTGGCAACTGAGGCATTTTCTGTGATGCGCATATGTTAGCACATACTATGATATCAGATGTAAAGCATGTAGTGCATCCTGCATAAAAGCACGTAGCACATTAGTGTGAGCACCGCGTGTGGGTTGATTTTTCTCAATATCCACCGTATAGTAGAAGTCAGGTATACAGTGCCCTTCATCTACAAGGTGTATCTATTGCATTTACAAACACATACTACTGGAAATGTCTGTTTGGGACAAATTATATCAATGCCAAAAAGCAAGGAAAAGAAGCATTTAAAAATACCAAAAAAAATATTATTTTCATCTAAGTGCATAACTGTAAGCTTTGACAGTGTACTTTGAAATCCATGATTCAAGTGCTAGAACAATGTAGAAATAGGAATTATTTACATAAATGCAAAGACCAGTCAACCGTGTAGCTAACTGAAACTCTGTTCTAAACCATATGAAAGGTATACTATCAGCCTTTAAAATGTCCTAAAGTATCTCTAGATATCCTGCAAAACTTCTTTACTCTTCTAATTCAAGCAATGAAAATGTTACAACCTCTCACGAATAATGGAATCTTATTATATCTGGATTTATCCTCCTGAATCGTACAGAGACATAGCAGACTGAATGAGTAGCAAGTCATTCAAAAATAAATTTCAGGATTACAAACATCATTCAAGTACAGGGCCATTTTTTTTTTTCTTTTTTTTTTCTTTTTTTTTTTTGGGGGGGGGGGGAGAATCTCATATATATTAGTTACCTTTAAAATTCACTGTGTTTGAAGGATCCAGCCAACAAAGGCTAAATAAAACTTGGTTTAGAGCCCATCTCACAAGACTCTTAAATTTCTGAGCTAAACAAACCAGAATGTGTAAATATATTGAAAGTCAGTTTTGTGATATTGTATTAGAGTTTTTAATAATGAGTGATCAACAATTGATGTAGTTGACATACTTAAATGGCTACTTTCACCACTTAGAGTAAATATTTAGCTATTATATATATATATATATCTTTTTTAATATGTTAAAGGTTCTTGATTTGTAAAAGGAAATTTCAATAAATAAGTCTAAGCAGCCTAGAATTTTGGTCTAAAAAGACTGTATTACCCTCTGCTTTTGATTCCCTTTGTCTGCTCATCTGATAGCAGCATATTATACAATAAAAAAACTGTGAACAAATGATGAAATGTCCTGGTTAGGTAATTAATGGGATAACTTATAATTTATTCAATTTTGGTGGTGATCCATTCATTTATCAATAAATCAATGAGAAACTAGAGGATCAGAGAGGCGATACCGCCTCCGAATATTGTACCACCAGCTGGAGCAAGCGCATTCGTATAAACCCCCACATACACAAAGTAAGGGACACAGCCATTAGTCTTGTGCTTGACAAGCTGTAAAAATGCAATCAACAAGAATTTTCAAAATTCGCAAAAAATATATATGACTAAAAATGGTACAATCAAAGTTAAGTTCATCGTAAGGTAGGTCAAAGGTCAATTTCAAGGTCACAGTAAATTGCCAGTATATGACTTCTTATTCAACTTCAATAGTAACTATGGACCTATCTCTGTCGGTTTTGGAGATGAAAGGGAAGCAAAATTTGCAAAGTTCAGTTCATGGTGAAAAGTAGGTCAAAGGTCAATTTCAAGGTCACATTTAGATTGCCAGTATATGACTTCATATTCAAGTTCAATAGAAACTATGGACCTATCTCTGCCAGTTTTGGAGATAAAAGGGAAGCAAAATTTGCAAAGTTCAGTTCATGGTGAAAAGTAGGTCAAAGGTCAATTTC